AAAAATTCCAGTTCAAGGACAGAAGTACAGTTGCCTTTTTAGATCATTATTTTCCTCCTTCCTTGTCATTAGTTGCCATCATCCCCCTGTCTTCTGCAGGGGGAGGGGGAATGAGGAACCCTACAAAAGGTCTCAAACTCCTTCGTCTGGAGAACTGAAAAGCAGTTTTCCACAGTGAAAATTATCTAGACAATATCAACAGCAAGAGCAAGATCAGTATCCTCTTGTGGGGGAATACATTGTGCCGACATTTTAAAGGGAGGAAAAACTTATGCCCCCTTCTGCGTGAGTTTTGCCACAAGTCTCATGTTGCCCTAGGAACTCCTTAAAGTGGGAGAAAGTAAAAAACAGGCAGAATGTGGAGTTATTTCAGACAACATCCCTGCCACCACTGAGGCAACAGGGAGAAAACTCATCTGCCTATAGTTCCCCTGTTGTAGCAAACGAGTGTAGTACAAACTTGATGTACACAACCAGGTCATCTTCAGGGAGGATTAAAAACATCAAGAGGGTAGTTGCAGCTGTAATGACCATCTTGGTTTTTTTTTTTTTAAAAAAAACAAAACCTCCCCCTCCCCACAGATACCCCTGTACAGAAGTAACAGCTGCGTTGCAAAACCAGTGGGAGAGCTAGTCAGAATTGAGAGTTCCTCCCACTAAACCATGTGCATAACACGCTCACCCAGGCTTACTACGTAGGTCAGTTTTTTTTGAAGGATTTCAACATTTCTCCCAAAGGAAATATATACCTGAAGACAAACTCTGTTTAGGCAGGAGTACGCAGTGTTTTGGGGGACAAAGCATTGGGGGCCTGCTGAGGGCCCTCCTGGCCCCAGAAACGCATGGAGCTAGAGCAAAGAAGCGAGCAAGCCTAGGGCAATAACAAAACGTGATTTTGTGAATTGAATCATTCCGTATGGTATTGAAGAATAAAATTACAATTTGAAAACAACTTTTGGAAAGGCCCTGGGCGTTCCAAGCCTTTGTATGGCTGGATGTGGCCCTGGGGCTCTGGGTGTTGCGCCTCTCCTTTAAAGATGGGCTAGTATCCAGAGGAAACAATTAGACCAGCTTGTTCAGGGCCTGACAGCAGCCTTTCTTGGCTTGTTGCAGCTAAGAAAGGCTTCAACAGACCCAGCCTCTAGCAAGTCTATTGTTGGGCGTTGCAATCAGAGCCGAGTTCGGATCTGGATTGCTCTTAAGGCTGAGCTCCTGCCCTTGTTTAAAGAGGGCTTTGAAGAGAAATGCCTGGGCTGTGTCCTGACAGGCACTTTGCTCTCCCTCAGGATGTTTCCCGGCTGAAAGCTGAACCGGGGCAAAGGGGGGCGGAGGGTGTCTGCCTTCAGCCTGTGTAATTCTCTGTGACAGTTCAATTCAGAGGGAATCTGACCACCTCCCAGCATCAGGTGCAGCCAATGGAGCCTCGGTAATGAGCTGAGCTGCTGTCTGCAGTGGCCTGCCTGGGGGGCGAGGGGGCTGTTGGAGAGGGAGCAAAAATGCTGATTGTGTCTTTCTTTCCCTCAGCCACCTCCTTTCCCTCCACTGAGCACAGCAGGCTGCAGCCCGGTCCCACCAATAGTGGAAATGGGGGCCAAAGACTCTTTCCAGCAGGGCTGCAGACACACTTCCAACTTACTTCGTCTAAAATGCCATCTAGGGTCTGCTTACCCCCTACTTTCTCTATCCTTCCCCACCCTCCCCACTTCATTGCTTGGGATTGGAAGAACAAGGATTAAATATCCTGCAAGTACATACTGTATAATGAAAGACATGTGCTGGTTAGATCCTCCAGCACACTGGATACCCCTGGAGTAGTTGGGAGCCTAAAAAGGAAATATGAAGCAACCTTATGCAAAAAACCCAGGAAGCCCTTATCCTCCTTAGCACCTTACCAGAAGCCTGGACAGAGTTACAAGCAAAGCTTCCAGACCTCTGGCCCAGGTCCGCCATTTAACCCTGCCTGAAGTCAGTTTCATAATTAGTTTCTACAAAGAGGTATGGATTTAGCAACTGCATATGCCAAGTTAACAACTGGATTGTGTATTTTATTTCAAAAGCAAAACACAATTCAGCCCTCTAGGTCCTGTGGGCAGTGGGCTAGAGCAACGGCCCCTGGCTGGTGCTCTCCAGATGCTCTTGGGTTGCAGCTTGCAGCCCCTCGCTGTGTCGTTGGAGGACACAAGCCTGGGAAGGCCGAGCACAGAATAGGCCCACTCTGTGTTTCATAACTGCCTCCTTTCTAATAACATTTAAGATGAATAAGCAAAAAGTTGCAGTTGTGCATGTTGTTCATTATTTTATAAAATCTCTACCCTGCTTTTTACAGATTCATGGAGTTTGAGTTTTATCATAAAAATGCTAAGCGACAAAACGAAAACTATATTTGACAAGAGTTTTGTCCTCTTTTTTTTCCAGTGTTTTTTTAAAATCACTTTGGAACCTCTGAATCTGGAACTGAAATTAGCCATTTGCAGCAAAGGACTGCAGTTACTGTAATTGGCTTAATAAAGCAAATCCTTAATGGCCATGTTTCTACATTCAAGAGGCAAATTAAAAGGCTCCCTGTCATATACTCTGTCATCTTTATGCTCCATCCATGCCACTGAAAAGCCTTGGGAAAGGATGCCTTGAGATTAGCAACTTCTATGCAACTAAACAAAGAGTTTTGTTTTCTGATTTATCCTCACATTTTCTCTGTTTGTGTGGGAGATGCAACAGAAACATTTTGCTGTTCCTTTTAGTTTTTATTCTTTGATCTGTCAGCCCTGCTGTTGGCTGTCCTGGGTAAATAAGAATTACATTTACACCCATGAATGGAATTGCCATTGTGGAGTTCCGTGTATGAGAGAAGTGTATAAACCTGTTAAAAGAAGAATGACTAAATCCTGCTTGCTGGAATAAATAATGGAGGAGTTGGAAGAAAATTGCAAAGTAGCAGTGATTTAACAAAAACAGCCTGTGTGCGATGGCTTTGTGCATGTGTGCCATTCCCCTTCTTCATGGGATGTGTGTGCACATACACACTCTTCTGCAGCACTCGTTTCCATAGACTCTTTGTTGGGGTATGGTAATAGGCTGACGTTAAGTGAACCAGCAGGGGGAGCTGCCTGCCTTCTGAAGCTCCCCACGAGATCTGATCGTGATGAGCTTTTATTTTTAATCTTCTGTTTTAATTCTCAAAACTGTGCCTGTCAGGGTTTCTTTTCCCCCTCTGGATTCTTTCTGAGATGCATAAAGGCTCCATGGCAGCGGAGATCCCCCCAGCCTCAGGAGCTTTGGCAGAGACGAGGTGGCCTGCTGAGCGCTAGATAAAAGAGACACTGGGAAATGAGGGGACGGGAGCAGCAATGGAGAGGGGTGGGGAGCAGGGCCTCACTATTGCCAGCCTGCGGACACCTCCCAGCTTTCCAAAAGTAGGGGCAGCATAAATCCCTTTGGCAGGTTTGTTTTTCCCAGTTTTCCACTTGGTTGCGCCACATTTGAAGTCTGGGAGGGCCAGAGAGGGGATGCTGTTTGGAAATGGGAGGTCTGGACCTTATCTGGTCTCTGTCTTCTGCTTGGGCAGCTGCATTGGAGAGGCCCTTTAGCTGGACCTTTCACCTTGAAGTGAAAGGCATTTCCACTGACTGGTGTCACTCTGAGAATGGTGCGTGAAAGTCTAGAGTCTTGTGTAGCTTCCTATGGGGCGACACATATCAAAAAGGAAGCCCAGCTGAGCAAAACAGATAGCAAGAGCAGGAGATGAAGAAACTGATAACTAATAGCATTATGGTTTAGACAGAGAGCTCAATCAGGGACCATTATATAGTCTTCAATAATTTACTACTGTCCTTTGCAGCAACTTAGTAGGGATGTCCTATGGATAGCATCTTATAATAAGGGCTACTTTGAGCAAATACTGCGGTTAATAGGACTAGTAAGAATATATTTAATTCCTGAACTGAATGGACTTCTGCTTTGTCTACTGCAGTGAGAAATAAAATCAGAGGCACATATTTCAAGCAGGTAAATGAGTCTACAAGATTTTGAGGAAATCGATGTAAATTAATATCTACGGCAGATGGCAGCCTCTAACTGACCTTGGCTGATCTTAACAAAGCTGAGCCTGGTCTTTAGTATTTGGATTGGAAGACTACTTGGAAATCCAGATTTGTAGGCTCGACTGGGAAGTCAAAAATATTCCAGAGAAGACAGCGGCAAATACTGCTAAGAAAACTGTATGGGCACAACCACCAGGGTCAAGCTTAACTTGAGGGCATCTTTACCCTTCTAGGCTAGATTAAAGTGAAACAAAAGAGTAGTGGAAAACCACTCATATATTGTTGCAAAAAAACAAAAGGCGTGTATTCATGGCAAACCCTAAAGGCGTGTACTCATGGAGTCACCAAAGCTAAATATTTAACTTGTGACAGAAATTAAAATTCACCATGATTCACCAATAATATAAGTCACACTATTTATCGAAGGGGAGAGCACAAGGGATCATTTGCCTAAGTTGGTTTTAGAATTATGCAAATTTAAAAGTGATGCTGTTTCGTTAAGGCTGTTATTTTGTTTGTTTATTTTGAGAAGGAAACGTCTCTCATCTTAAGAGTCTGCCTCTGTTCCTTTGAATGAAAAAAATGCTAAACAGATTATCCCCATGCAAAGTCTAAAATGCTAAGAATTCACTAGCCAACCAGAGTCTTGAGGAAATTTGAATGAACTTGAGATGGCAGCTTTTTTAAAAATCAAAAATCGTTCTCCTTCTGTGAATTTAATTACAGCTTGAATTACTGATGTGTAGCCAAGTCTGCATTTCCTGCTATGGTAGTGAAGTAAGGGGCAGAGCTTAACCTGTTGCATGTTTATATTCCAGGCTGCAGTTCAAGGCCCAGGAACAAGGCCAGCAGAAAATCATATCCCTCCCTTTTGTCACATGCCTCCATCTTACTAGCTCTTTTCTTGGGATTGGAATGTATTTTATGCCAACAGTGATTTCAGTGTTTTTCCTCTTACAGAATGCAGGCCCGGGGACTCTTTCTCCTCTTGGTTTTCATCCTTCTGGCTGTATCTTCAGAAGCTGGCAAGAATAAGAAGGGTGAGTGTCAGACTTCTGATTGCCCAAGAAATAAGTCCCTATTTACAGTTGGCTATTTTTAGAAGATGTCTTTCAGTAGGGCTTCCAGAACTGGACTATAAAAGTACAGGAAATACCCAGTATTTCCTCTGGGTACTGGGCTAGAAACCAGGAAAAAGTAAGTTCTAGTCCTGCCTTAGGCATGAAGCCAGCTGGGTGGTTTTGGGCTAGTCACTCACTCTCAGTCCTAGGAAGAAGGCAACAGCAAACCATTTCCCAAAAACATTGCCAACAAAACTGCCATGTAGTCAGAAGAGTCAAGATTGATTTGAAGGCACAGAAAAGCCCTCCATCCTACTTTAGGTGAGGAGAGACAGGCTGCTTTTAATGGTTCAAGATAGATTATAGAAAATAAAAGGCTATTTCTTGTGAGTCAGAAATGACTGCCTGTTCTTCATGTAGACAAGGTCAAGAAAAATGGTTCCGATTGTGAGGAATGGCGCTGGGGCCCTTGTATCCCCAACAGCAAGGACTGTGGTGTGGGCTTCCGTGAAGGAACCTGTAATGAGGAGACTAAGAAGCTGAAATGCAAGATTCCATGCAACTGGAAGAAGGAGTTTGGAGGTGAGCATGCACCTGATTTAAAGGAAGACTCGGGGAATGATGCACCAGTCTTATCAGAGCCTCAGGAAGTCAGCCAGGTAGTTTTCAACTTTAAATTTGAAAGAATAGACACAGACAATTAATACTTGCATTGTATGTCAACCCATTGCTTGCTTCAATACAGTATCCATTTGTCTTGGTCGGTCTCTGGTAATTGGCTTCCTCCATTGCTTCTTGTTATGCTTTCATGAAAAGCATATCCTCTGGCTTCTGAGGCCAACTAGTCTCTCCAGAAAGTGATTGTTTGTAGTTTCTGGCAGCTGCAGCTCTTTTACCATTTAGGACTATAAGAAGCTTCCCTCTGTCACATTAGCCAAATGGTCCTGGTAGCTCTGTGCTGGATGGCAGTGGTTCGTGAGCTTGTGAACCATGTGCTCATCTCCTGGGCATCTGAGTTATTTCTCATCTGAGAGAAAATGATGGGGAGGGGAAGCCAAGCTGGATCTAGGTTGTCGTGGATCCTGTATATATCTAACAGTTCTTACTTTTCCCCTAGCTGATTGCAAGTACAAGTTTGAGAGCTGGGGTGGCTGTGACTCTGCAACAGGTCTGAAGGCCCGTTCAGGTACTCTGAAGAAAGCTCTTTACAATGCTGAGTGCCAGGAAACTATTCAAGTGACTAAGCCCTGCTCTCCTAAGGCCAAGTCAAAATCCAAAGGTCAGTCTATCTGTAAGAGGCCATTGATAAAGCCTTTGGTGTTTTATTTTGCATGCTTCTAAGTGGTAAAAGAATGGAAATGGGCCATTCAGAAGATGTGGAATTCAAGGGTGGGTATCCTGATTGCCAGTCATGGTTCTTACTATAATGCCTTAGGATTCTTTCTGTCCAAAAGAGGTTCAAGTCTGTTTGGCACTCTCTGCTATAGGCATCCTCCTTAGTATCCATACAGGTCCCTGGCCAGGTTTGTTAATTTGTAATGTACTTTGAATAGCTACAAAGCAGAGGCAAACTACTACAAGATTGTTGCTAAGAAAACAATATGGATATGTCCATGTCATGCCCAAAGGGCTTGAGGGCACCCATCATCCTCATTTCTTTTCTCCACAGTGCCTGCTGGGGGGACAGTGAGAGCTGGAGAAGATAAGACCAGCAGCATCACTAGTCCTGTTCCAATGCCCAGAATTCCCAACAGGCATTTTGGTAGTTATAAGTTCTCCATATCTAGTGGGTACCAGTTGGGGAAAATGTTTTGATGTAGAATGTTGTGTGAATCCTGTCAGTGTAGCTTGAAATCTATAGTTTATGGTTTATTGTGTTGGGCAGATCCAGCAAAGTGTTTTATTCATTATCTGACTCTTATGCAAATCATGGGTTGGTGTGTTGTGTGAATATAGTCTCCATGTAACGTGTTGCACTAATGTTTTTCCTCCTTAATTGTTTCATACAGCCAGAAAAGGAAAGGGGAAGGACTAGTACGATGGATACAGCCCCACCATCTTCAGGGCATGGTGCCTGAGCCCACTTGGACACACGCCACTTGAAGCTGCAGCTTGGCCTCTCCCAGCTTGGCAATGCTTTGCCAAACCCCATTATTCTTCAGCCTGCACAGCCTTATCTTTAACTGCAATACCATTCCTAATTACTAGTTTTGTAGCGCGCAGGCCCACCCTTTCCTAAAGAAGGGTGCTGCTTGCCTTTCCCTTAACTTCTCTTCTACCTCCTGTCCTCCCTCCTTCCTCTGTGTCCCAGTGTCCTTTGCTCTGGTTTGCTTCCCTGAATGCAGCATGATGTTTGGAAATGGGCTAGGCTGTGCTAAGGTCTTGCTAAAGATCTCCACCTGTGGGTCCTTTGTCAAAGCCAAATGGCTTTTTGGCAGCCTCTTGCAATCTTAGCAATGCATGCAGTTTCTCCACACGGCTTCCTCTGGTCATAAACCAAAACATTTATTGAGGCACCCAAGGAAACCTTTTCAAGGAATGGGGGAGGATGGGAGAGGAATTACAGTGGAAACAAGGGGTGAAGAGCCATGTCTGCCTCACCTTCCTAAAAGACACGCTGTGCACAGTAGGAAAGGCAAGAGGTACAGACCTCTTTGATGCTGTTTTCCCACAGGAGAAGTGCCTACTTCCTGGCATGCTCTGCATAAACCAAACCTTTCCCTTCCCCATCTCTTATGCATAGATGTTTGTTGATAGGCAGACTTCCCATCTGAGGAGCAGCGTGGCTGGATCGTCTCACTGAGCTGTGCTTGCCCAGTCTTTTCTGCCCACAGGCCACCCCTGGCCTTCCTTTCAGCATCCAGGAAAGGATCCCTCAGAGCCAATGAACCTGGTTCCTTGTTTCAATCCCTTCTGTCTGTATTCCTGCTGGGATGCTGTGGCCTTTCCCTCCTTTACTGGTGCTGGGTAAGCCCTCTCTGCTTTTCACAGTTTCCCCCTTTTCCAATAAAGGTCTTTTTACAAAAACAGTCTGCTTCCCCTGTTGGGTCGTGTTTGTACATCATGAATTACTAGTCTGTGAACAAGGAAAGGACTGGCTATATACGAGGGTGGCAGCAGGTAGAAAACATGCTGTAATTGCTGTGGGGGGTGTGTGTGCGTAGAGTCACAGCTCAGTATCACTGAAGGAACGTCTATCCAAACTTGACAATGCTTAGCAGCCCAGAAACTATCTAATAGACACAGGCTGGAGGGACAGAAGGACCTCACTGTCTACGCAGATTTCTTTGGGGCATTTTTTTAGGCAGACAGAGTGAGGCACAGGTAGTCCTCAGTTACAATAGCAATTGGGACCGGAATTTCCATTGCTAAGCGGTGGACTGTACATCAGTTGTAAAGTGCAATGCCGTGGGACTGCATCATTAGCAACAGCAATCCCAGCAGTCCCTTTTGGTGTTGTTTAACAAGGAACACATGGGTCATTAAGCGAGGACCTCATGTGACCACAATATGGGAAGAGGCACTGAAACTGTGTACCAAGCAAGCAGGCTGGTGAGTGAGTACCATGGGCCAGCGCTATGAAGTATGGGTGGGTG